AAAATAGCAGCTAGTAAAAAGGTAAATGTTAAACATCTAAAGAACAGACTACATAACTTTAGAGGTTTTAGGAGTAATTTTGAATAAATTTTAAAGTATGTAAATATATATGCTCACAATGCTATATTTGCTAGACAAATGCCCTACCACTTGAGCTACACCCCCAGTCCACAATGCTACATTTGTATGAATATGGAGTAAATTTGAAAAAGATGAAAGCCAGCACAAGATGGGGTAATAGAAAGATCCAAACTTGATCCCACACTCCAGAAATATCAATTAGCAATTGTCCCGTGATAATTATTCCATTGTTGGGTGAAAAACCAAAAATGTGAAAATAAGCATGAGTTTAGTGCATCTTACATAGAATCAAACAAAATTTCACTGATAGAGAAAAAGAAGGACAAAGTGTACAGTACCTGCCAGAAAGTGTAAGGCCCTGGATTTAGCCTCAGCAACGTAAATGAATGAATGAATGTGAGAAAATGGTTTTCCATTGACCATGCTGTCCCCTTTTCCAAGGTTGTTACAGTGCCCAGCAGAAAGAATGCTTTAGTATCTAGAGTTCCTACAGTGGGAAAAGGGAACCAACAAGGTATATATATGCAGCTCCTCTGACATCCCAAGGTATTTTCTACAATGTTCACTGTAGTTTCACTTCATAAAAGACAGGAAACCTACAGAAAAACAGCAAAGCTAAACCATCGAAATTAGGTAGAATGCAAGTAAAAAGGTGGAGCCATAAGGATCACTGTCCAGATTTTGGTGACAGCTTGGTGTACTCACCAACTGGCACTCAACCTTAGATACTACTATACAAGACTGTATGGTGAACAGTGGTACTCAACTTTAGATTCTAGTGCACTCATAAAGCTCTCCTTAGGAGAGATGGGAAGTGATATCTAGCTCTAGGTGGTCAGTTTTCAGCCCAAGCAGCAGACTTCATGCTAGGGCCCAGTCAAGAGATGTTCACATCATATTTTGAAACACACCAATATACTACATCTAACATAACTGGGAGTTTGATCAGTTCTTCAACTTGCTAGCCTACTCCAACACATCTTGGGTAGCACACTAGCCTTGAGCTGAAGAGCTGAGGGACAGCGCCCAGGCCCAGAGTTCAGGCCCCACGACCGGAACCCCCCCCACCTAAAAAGAAGAATTTTTAATAAAGAATGCAAATGTCCTAGTCATCCATATCCACTTAACCACAAAACTACTCCTGCAACCCTGTCTAACTGCTAAACCTCAATGAAAGGATCATGTAGTCAAAAAATAGACTCTGCCGTGTGGCCTGGCTTCATGAGAAGAGGCATTATTTTGATGTCCATTGAACAGCTCAGCCACATAGCAAAGCTACCTAAGAATCTTATTGGATAGTAGAGTTTGGCCAGTTGCTTTACTGGAACTCAGTACAAAAGCTGCAATCTGATTAACTAGAAAATCTAAAATAAAGGTCACTACTAGCTTGTCCATCAAAAATCACAGGATACACTGACTAGGGAAACCCTTTCCCTATCAAAGGAATTCTTGAAAAGCCTGAAAATTTTTCTTGCAAATGATAAAACACTAACATGGAAAGGGAGATCTAGAAAATAATTTTTTTAAAAATTCAGAAAAATGCAAATTAAGAAGCTTTCTGATCATCAAGAATTTGTGGCTAAAATAATGAATGAATAACATAAGAAGTTTGACAAGACCAAATAAAATACAATTAGAAACCCTAAATATGAAGACAAAATCGCTAAACTGAAAATGCTATGAAAATTTCAAGAGCTCGATCTATTAAGTGGAGGAAAGGATCAGCAGATTCAAAGAAATAACATTTGAAATTATCAGAGAAGCAAAAGAAAAACTAATGCAGAATTTAGGGCACATAATTAACCTATCTAAGGTATGAATTCAAGGAGGAAAACAGTAAATGATGTCAGAAAGCATATGTAAAGACAGAATTGATTAAAATTCCCTTAATATGAGGAATGTAAACAATATCCAGTATGTCTAAAATGTCCAGTAGCTACCAATGAAATTTAACCCCAAAAATGAAACCACTAACTACAAATTCCAAGAAGAATAAAGTATTGGAAATATTCACAAAAGATTTTAATGTCTATCAGTAAACTTCTTATCTAAATGGTAAGCTGAGAGAGGAATAAATTGAAACTGTTTTAGAAAAAACAATCTGACAACCAACAATACTCTAGTCAGCAAAATTGTCTTTCAGAAATGTGGATAAATTAAAATTCTTTCAGAAAAGAAAATGAAAGCCTACCTTATAGGATTTCTGAATAAAGTTCTTTAAAATGAAACAGAGTATAATTAATAACACAAATCTAGTAAAAGTAAAAAATGCAATGACATAAGTACCAAAGACCTAGGATTATAACAGTGGAACATAAATTTTGTCTTGTACTACAAGAGCTAAGAGACAAAGCTGTTAATGATAGTTATGGCTAAAATAGTCAAGGGACCAGCTGGGCATCAGTGTCTCACGCCTGTAACCCTAGCTACTCAGGAGTCTGAGAGCTCAGGATCATGGTTCAAAGCCAGCCTGGGCAGTAACATCCATGAGACTCTTCAATTAACCCCCCAAAACCAGATTGGCGCTGTGGCTCAAGTGGTAGAGCAATCGCTTTGAGATGAAGAGCTCAGGGACAATGCCCAGGCCCAGAGTTCAAACCTCACGACTGGCAGAAGAAAAAAAAAAGAAAAGTCAATTCTAACATAAAAATGTGGCAGGAGTAATGTGATGGTAACATACAAACTTGAAACTCCATTCAGGTGGAAATACCAACCAAGGGAAATGAAGAAAATAATGCTCCATTCGCAAATACACCTAAAACTTTATAAAATATATAAGAACAAATTTAACAATAAAAGACATGTTTCCAATTTTTTTAAAGGGCATATGCAACAAGATCTGAACAAAAGGAAAGACATATTTGCTTGGGTTGAAAGAATTAGCATCATTCAAAAAGTCAGAAACTGTCAACCACAGAAAGGAATTTAACAGATGATAAAAAATGTTTTAATTCAATGAGGAGATAGTACATTATTAATAAATATTACTGACATGATGCCTCCCAAATTTGTAGAAAATAAAATAGGCTTTTAACCTGGTGTCCATAAAATTCTGTGACTGTCCAAACAAATGTGCATAAATATTCTTTTACAATTTTATTGGGAAAACAAATCTCATTCATGAAATTTGCAGAGTCTGAAAGCTGAAAGAAAACTATTTTATGTAAGTATTATGCCTTTCTTACTTTTATTCTTGGACTAAACTTATCCATGGTCATACTTTTGCTGCTTTAGCAAAGATCATTTAACTGCTGGGTAACTACAACTAGTAAAAGATAGCACATATCAAAACATATTTGAGCAGTATGGGGATTTGAACTCAAAACTGCAAGCTTGCTGGGCTAGCACTCTATCACCGAGCCATGCTTCCGGTCCTTTTTGTACTGGCAGTTTTTGCAGTAGGTTCTCACTTCTTGCCCCTGCTGTGTCTGGACTGCAGTCTATCTATTTTTGGCTTCCTATCTTAAATGGGATCACAGGCACGTATGCCACCACAGTTAGCTTCTTCCAGTTGAGAATTCAATTCAATCCTCTTCATATCCACCTCCCAAGTAGCTAAGATTATAGGCATGAGCTATAGGAAGTTCAAACATATCAAATTAAATTTTGTCTCTGAAAATTCTATCTATTTTCTTGATTTTTTGCAGGCTCCAGAGCATGAGAGGCAAGGAAAAAAAAAAAAGTTCCTCGTTACTGACAACTGCAGTTTTCCTTCCTATCTGGGAAGTGTCATCTTAGCTCCAAGACAGTTTTCTCTTTTAGAGTAATAGTTTTCAACAATGTATCATATAGAATTTACTGTCTAATTAAAATTTTCTCTAAAGGAAGATTAGTGATTAAAACAGTATTGTATTCTGTTTAAAGATCCCATATTGATCTCCACTAGACTGTAGCAGGATAAATCATTATAAATTACTTGTAAATTTCACAAAGCACTCAGAGAAAACAAGTACATTAGTTTTATATAAACGTCCTCGTGAGGTCAAAAGAAGTCTCACAAAGCTGGGCACCAGTGGCTCATGCCTGTAATCCTAGCTACTCAGGAGGCTGAGATTTGAGGATCATGGTTCAAAGCCAAGTCCAGGCAGGAAAATCCGTGAGACTCTTATCTCCAATAAACCACTAGAAAACTGGAAGTGGCGCTGTGACTCAAGCTGTAGAGCACTAGCCTTGAGCTTGAGAGTGCAGGGACAGCAACCACGCCCAGAGTTCAAGCCCCATGACCAGCCAAAAAAAAACCAAAAAAAAAGGATCACGTAATTAATTTGCTAAATACTTCCAAAGTAACTCATGCCAGTTCCTGGAGAAAGCATCTTGCAATGTTGCTTTATTTTCTTTGGTGTCTTGGATCTCCTAGACTCTAGAAATCCTGCCTCAGCCTAGTGAGTTAATGAGTCTAAAGTCACATGCCACAACACACAAAGAACAAAAATTGTATTTTGAAGAGGGAATCTGGCCAGAATATAGGGTCCAAGTGTTCTATGTTTGTATAAAAATGAAACAACAAATCTGCTTTATTTGTTCTAAGAAATCAAAGGAGGAATGATGAGGAGTAATGAGGAAAAGGATTTAATTGGAGTACATTATATGCATATATGGAAACACCACAATAAAACCCTTTTACAACTGCTCAAGCTAATAAAAATGGGGGAAAACATTTTGATGATCATGGGCTATTTCTCGAAATAGGATTTATGAATGGTTTAAACTATCTGTCATCTCGTAGCAGGAGTTATTTCCTCATATATCTCATGGGTACAAAAAGATAGATGCAGCTGTATTATGACTTCAGGTGAAATTTTTAACCTATTTGTATTCATTCTTTTTTGGAGGAACAGGAGGAGATACTTAAGTAAAACACAACAGTTAAATAGTCCAAACTCTATAAAAATTAATCAATATACAAAAACATTACTTACGGATACAATCTTGAAAGCTGTTCGGCTATAGCATAAGCTGTTGGGTCTCTGTCTAAGGCATAAAGAATAATATCTGATTCCTTCTGAAGAATGGCTCTTGTGTGGCCTCCTGAACCAAATGTCATATCTAGAAAAATCTAACCAATACAGAAAAAGAAAATTACTCCTTAAAGTGAGCTTAACTTATCATTAAGCTAAATGACAACAACCTTAATTTTAGAAGTATATTGTTTTTAGGCCTGACTGCAAATAGAAAAAAAATATAACTGGAATTCCTTTTTTAATATAAATCAGCCTCAATTGTGAATGATTAAATTTTTAAAAAGTAATCAGTAAAATAATCCCTGGTACAAACTGGCAAATCAAGATAACATTGCTTCACTATAGAGTCAAACAGGCCACACTACTCTGTAGCCTACTTTATAACACTTTGTAGCACTCATCTTGTAATAATATTATACCCATTCCTTATCATTTGGAGATAATTAAAAATCACTTATCCCAACTTTCCTAAATGCTTTATATGAAAATTAAAGATATTCAAAGTAAAAGAGATAAGTAGACACACAGAATGAATGAGGACACATACATAGATACACACTTGATGCAATGCAAAAAAAGGGAACTTAGCATCCCAAGGTAACTATCGGAAAGAAGGCAAAGCCCATTAATCAAAATATAAAGATTCACTATTCTAGAATATCATTGAATAGTCATAATTCAGGCTAATTAGCTTTTAAGAACCACTTAATATCAGTATATTCTAATATCACCACTGATTCATTAATGAATACACTTACAGGGCATTAATAATGATTGATAATTAATTCTATTATTTAACTCTATAACACACCATATTTCATTTTCCAATCAGCCTCCTTTATAGTGAACATGAAAAATGAACATTTCTTACTTTAGGGTAGTTCTTTTAAATCAAATACAACTAAATGACATTTTGTCCCCATCGTCTTCTCAATATCCTAGAAATGACTTGATTCTACTTATTTTTGTCACAAATGAGTCAGCACCTAAAAAGTAGCTATAAATCTGATAGGATACAGGATATCCACAGAATTTTGAGGAAATTCTAAGCAGACTGAGGTGCTAGAGAAGTAAACTGGTAGGTTTTTAAAATTTATTTTTATTTCTTATGTATTTTTATTGTAAAAATACTGTCCAGAGGGGTTACAGTTACTTGAGTAAGGTAATGAGTACATTTCCTATTGAGCATTGTTACTTCCTACTTTGTTTTTCCCCTACCATCTTCCTTCCCCAACTCCTCCTCCTAAGTTGTAAAGTTCATTTTTAACATAGTGTCTTCTACATCTCATTGTTACAATGGGTCAACATGTATCCTTATTTCAGCATTTTGTTTTTTCCCTTCTCCTCCCCAAATTAGAAAAGTGTGTGTACAAGATATAGGGCCCAGACATTAAATACAGTGAAAACAGGGGTTATACTGTAGGGGAAGAACATACAAGAAAAACCAAAAAATCACATAGTATATTTTAAATATGTTAAAAACAATAGCAAGAAAGAAAAAAAACACTGAGTCCCTATCTTGGGGTTCATTTCACTTAACATCATCTTATATGGTCATATGTATGTAACTTTTGACCTTTTCTGCTTGTCCTAGACTTATACTAGTTACTGCAAATAAGGGAAACCATGAGACCTATGTTTCTTTGGGCCTGGCTAACTTAATATAATTTTTTCCAAAAATAGCCAATAGACACATGAAGAAATGCTCAACTTCTCTAGCCATAAATGAAAATCAAAACAACATTGAGATTCTACCTCACCCCAGTTAGAATGACTATAATCAAGAAATCTAGGGCTGGGAAGGTGGCTCAGTGGTAGAGCGCTTGCCTTGCATGCCTGAGGCCCTGGGTTCAATTCCTCAGCACCACATAAGCAAAAAGAAAAAAAAGCCAGAAGTGGTGCTGTGGATCAGGTAGTAGAGCGCTAGCCTTGAGCTGAAGAGCTGAGGGACAGCGCTCAGGCCCAGAGTTCAGGCCTCACAACCAGACCCCCCCCCCCAAAAAAAAAAAAGAAAAAAAAAAGAAATCTAATAACAACAGATGCTGGAGGGGATGTGGCCAAAAGGGAATGCTACTGCATTGTTGGTGGGAATGTAAACTTGTTCAATCACTTTGGAAAGCAGTATGGAGGTTCTTCAAAAACTCCACATAGAACTCCGCTAGGACCCAGCAATCCCACTTTTGGACATTTACCCAAATGATCATAAACAAGGCTATACTAAAGCTACTAGCACAACTATGCTTATCGCAGCATTATTTACAACAGCTAAGATATGGAACTAACCCAGATGCCCCTCAGTAAATAAATGGATCAAGAAAATGTGGTATATTTATAATGAAGTTCTATGCCTCCATCAGAAAGAATGGCATTGCTCCATTTGTTAGGAAATGGAAAGACTTGGAAAAAAATTATATTAAGTGAAGTAAACTGGTAGGTTTTTGAGGACAAAGTTAATACTACAACCTAGATCCTGTGCTACTTCTACTTCATCTTAATGAGTATTGTTCCCCATTGGAATAAAAACAGCTGCTTTTAAAAAAAGTTTTCTTTCCTAATCTAGGACTATTAAATTAGGCTATTTTCTCCTGAAGCCTTCACAGGTTAAAAACAAAAACGGGCTGGGAAGGTGGCTCAGTGGTAGAGTGCTTGCCTTGCATGCATGAGGCCCTGGGTTTGATTCCTTAGCACCACGTAAGCAGGAAAAGTCAGAAGTGGTGCTGTGGTTCAACAGCACCTAGGCCCAGAGTTCATGTCCCACCCCCGACAAAATAAAATAAAAAAGAAGAAGAACCTACTGCCTTATCATGTCATATGTTAAAGAGTATTTATGGATATGAATATACTGATATAAATTCAAAAGAAAAGCAATAATTTTGCATATTGCTTGGTATAAATACCTGCAATCATTTTGTTTATTGGCTGGTATGACATCTGCTATCTGTAACAGTCAAATGATGAATAGGGATTTATGGAGAAGCTAGTTTCCAAACTGATCTGAAAATTAAAAAAAAAAAAAAAAAAAAAAAAAGAAGTACCAACACCAACACCAAAAAAAAAAATACAAAAAAAAAAACCCTAGAGTATTTAAAAATCATAGAATGGTATGTGGACATGGTTAAGAACTGTAAAACTAATTGAAGTCTAATTAATTATACAGACTATCCCATCTTTCTAGAATACACCTTTTTAATCTAAATTTGATATCCTTGAAAACTAGCCCTGGCTCCTTACTTGAGATGAGAACTGACAGCTACTAAGTTGGTGCCCAAAATCAAATACAGACTAGATTAAATAATGTATTGCTTTTCAATCCAGTCGCTAAAAATTTAACACTCAAACAACACTGTTAAAAGTGGACACAAACATTTTTAGCCACAAAAGGTATGAGGCCAGATCTTCCTATTTCATTTCCTAATGTTAATTAGTCATTTCCAATCTGTGCAAGGTTTTTAATAGTAAGTTTCCATCTGAATTGGGAAACAATATGGCCTGGTTTTGCTTTAAACTTTTTTCCTATAAACATATCCTCATCTGGCATTTGCTAATTTTGAATTTTGAGAATTAAAAGTGCCTTTTTAAAGTTATTGTGTTTCTTTTCCGTTAAACTTCACCTATGAACCACTAGTTTCATTTTGAACCACAGAAATATGCCAAGCACACACTTAACTTTCTGGATGTATTTCATTTGATAATCAAAATATATGGCAATAATTAATACAGTGTATATATACAAAATTAAGTATGCATATGCATATTCAAAGCCATAGAAGAAAATCCAAAGATATTATGTGTAGCTTTCCAGTCCACTGGGGGCATTTAGACATGCACATAAATAAAAATAATGCTAGCAAAAGGAGAAGAGGAGAGGAATGGGGAGTGAGAACAGAGGGAATGGGAGGAGTGGGGAAGGAAGGGAAAGAAATGGACCAAGGAGTAAAGACTTACTATAAAAGAAAAAGGTGGGGGTGGGAGGGGCAAGGGGTGAGAGATAGACAAATGAAGAGATGTGGGGGAGAATGTAATAATCATAATAATAATACCTCACTGTATATCCTACAAAATTAAGAAAAGTGAGGTAAGGGGTGGGTTGGGAGGGATGGGTGAGAAGGTTGAAAAGGGTGGCATTGATCCAGACGCATTGTTTCATAAACCACTTTGTTGAATGGCAATCCTTTTGCACAACTAAAGATAAATTTAAATAAAGAAATAAGACCTTTAGGAGAGAAAAAGGATGTAGAAAATACAGAATGAGAAGATATAGGATACCAAGAGAAAAAAAATTAATGATTTCAGTGTAAGAATGGAATTTTTTGTGTGCAGTAAAGATGAAGTAGTAAAGGGAGAATTCGCTGGGTGAAGATTTGAAGGGTCCAATAAAACAACTGATATTTATGAATGTTAACCGAGCAATAATATATGGTGGTAATCAAGAACTTTGATTTCTGATTAAAAATATAAAATTGTATTTTTAAAGTTCATCCTACGCAAAAGTCTTGATACATGTCAAAAAAACCTATATTATTTATATTCATTATATATATAATCTATATGCTACAGCTAGTTCAATTAGCACATATTTCCAAAAGCCAACAGAGAAGAACCCATGTCATATAAGTAGTGAGAAACTAGCTTGTCAGACCAAAGATATTTGGCTATTCTGAAAAAAAAAAATGCATGTGTGTATGTTTCTGTGTGTGTTTGTCTCATGTATACACTTGAATATGTACGTTTGATGAATCAAGCACTGAAGACTACCATAGATTTTTACCAGGCTTTCTTATGTTTTTTGTCTAATATGATGTTTATAAATACATAAATTAATTAAAACATGATGAATATAGAAGGCCAAGCTTCTAGTCAGGTAACAGTTTGAACAAACATTGTTCCTAACAAACCCATTGGTTTATTATTGTGCTATGCTTTGTTTTCTTTATAGTTACCACATAGGTTTATGTAAAATGGAAAAAAAAACTCTCAAAAGAACATGTTATACCACAAACAAAACAATCAAAGCACTGTACTGTTTATCTCTTTCCCTGTTTTATTAAGAGTATTGGTGTTACTAGGATGACTCATTCTGCTGAAATTCTGTAAA